AAAAAAACAGCTCTTATGCCCTTGCCAAATCTAATACTTAATCCTTCAAGTTCTTTACAGAGGGTAGAAAAAGCTGGGGAAAAGGTAAGTAAATGGTAAAAGTCAGGGAACTTTCTGTTTAGGACTAAATCAGGCTGGTTTCATCACACCATGTTCACATGATAGATTAAGTGCTTCCTTCAACAAACAATACCACAATATGTACAACAACACAAAGATACTTCTATTGTCAACAATTTACCTTGACTGAGAAAGTCATATCAATGCTGACTATTGCACTTAGATGAGCCAGATGATAAATAGATGGCCCAACACAACCCATTCCCAACATTATAAAGACACAAGTGCTGGGTGAGATAAGTTAATGCCTGCAATCCCAGCTCTTTAAGAAGCTGAGGCAGGAGGATCACTTGAGCCCAGGATTTCAGGTTATAGTGAGCTGTGATTGCACCACTGCACTCCAACCTGGGCAACAGAGTGAGATCCTGTCTCTAAAAAAATTTTTCTTTTAAAAAGGGGTACCGGTGTTAAGGAAAGTATGTAAAAAAGAGGGATGAGAAAAAAGAAAGTGAGAATTGGGAAAATATGGGGAGATGGGAAGGGCCCGGCTAGAAATACAGAGTCAACTTTTTTTTAGTTTAAAAAGTCTCAATCAACTACTAAAAAATATTACTGAATGAGGTACAAAACATTATTTTATACGTGTTATTTTGAAATCATACTTACCAGCAGTTGTTTTCAGGAAGTGATGTGGATGACTATACTTGAATGAAGGATAACCAAAGAAACACACATAATTTGGCTTCAAAACATGAACATTACCACATGTTTGAAAATAGCGAACACAAATCTACAGATGAGAAAACAAAAAGTAAAACCATTTATAAACGATTACACTGGCTTATCTCTAAGTATAAACTGAATTTCAATTCTATTCTAAAAGTAGAACCATTATCACAATAGAAATATGATATCCTTAGATTTAGATTTGTTACATTTATGATCCTTGCTCAAAATTCCTTCTGAAAGTAAAGACATTTTAACAGTGTATTCTGTATAAATACATCAGCTTATAGGTATGCTTCAATCATTGGACTTCCTGAACTAAAACTACTAAAGAATTCTAAAGTAACAGTTAGCATCTAAAAACAATGAAACACTTGTATAGTATGATACCCTCAAGTTTACTTATAGTAACTTACAGATGACTGTTTAGCATTCACTATTTTACATAGTACCTTAGTATAATATTATTTAAAAACCTCTTATAGAAATCAGTAGGTCCAAAAGTATTCAACTCTACATATTAAAACCTAAGTGTCTGAAAGGTATTGTGTGTGGGGGGGTGTGTGTGTGTGTGTGTGTGTGTATTTGAGACAGGGTCTCACTCTGTTGCCCGGTCTGGAGTGCAGTGGTGCGATCACAGCTCACTGAAGCCTCGACCTTCTAGGCTCAAGGGCTCCTCCCGCCTCAGTCTTCCAAGTATCTGGGACCACAGGTGCATGCCACCCCACCCAATTAATTTTGTTTATTATTTGTAGAGATAAGGTCTCACTATGTTGCCCAGGCTGGACTTGAAGTTCTGAGTTCAAGCAATCTTCCCGTCTCAGCCTCCCAAAGTGCTAGAATTACAGGTGCGAGCCACCACGCCAGGCCATAATATCTTATTTTGAAAGTTAATATTTTAATGCTATTAATACCTAACTACATCACACTGTAAACATAAACTACAGAAATGTATTTACTTATTTAATTTTAAAACCCTGAGCTTACTTCTCTGCAGAAATTTCTAACCTTCTTAGCATAAGAATACTGATAAGTGAAACTTATTCATGTATGTAACAGAATCACTTTTACTTTAAAAAAAAATCATGTACATTAGTGGTGATTCGCTCTTAAAGGCTATGTTATAATAAACATTATATAATACAGTTATGTTTTAATACATATTTATAAACTAGAATTTTTGTTTTATTCTGATAGTAAATAACATAAAATTAAAAGTTTGGTTTACTGACAAGAACAATACATTTAAATTCATATGTTTTACTTTAAATTTCAAGCTATTACTGATTTCTGAAGGCAAAGAAAAACTGAAGATCCCTTTCCTAAAACATAAATAATCTTAAATCATTCATCTTAACTTTAGAGATCACCCTAAATCAACTAATCCTTATAATATCTACATTTTATTCTTATTAACATTAATATTCAGGAAATACAAAGCCTAACTAAAATAATTAAAATTGATAGCTTAAAACTAGAAGACAATGAAAGAATTCTCTTTCCCAAACATTTCCATTTTGTTTGTCCTTGCTTTCTCCTTCAGCTCCCATAATCCTGACTCTTGGTCAATAATCAAATCAAAGGAGTGAATCAACCTGTTTCATCAGACATAAAACTTAGGGACAATAAAGGAAAGTTTTGAAGTATATAGATCCACCTTAATTTAAATAAAATTGTTGATTTTTTAAAACGTTTGAAAGAAAATTAAACTATTAGAAGGTCTTACCTTCAACAACAACACAACTCCTGTTGAGCTATTCATGGGTCAGGGGCAGCACAAACCACCAAGCTTAACATTTATCGAGTGCCTCCCAAGTGCTGAGTACTTTCAAAGCCTTTTCAGACAGACCAGGCACGGTGGCTCTTGCCTGTAATCCCAGCACTTTGGGAGGCTGAGGTGAGTGGATCGCTTGAGGTCAAGAGTTCAAGACCAGCCTAGCCAACATGACGAGACCCCCTCTTTACTAAAAATACAAAAATTAGCTGGACATGGTGGCACACACCTGTAGTCCCAGCTACTCGTGAGGCTGAGGCACAAGAATCGCTTGAACCTGGGAGGTGGAGGTTGCAATGAGCCAAGATCACACCACTGTACTTCAGCCTAGGTGACAGAGAGAGACCTTGTCTCCAAAAGAAAAATAGT